CTGGCTGGGAACTCACTCTGTAGCTGAGGATGACCTTGACCCACTGATGCTCTTGCTCGTGATCACAGGCATGCAGCACTGTGCCCACTTTATGAGGTGCTGGGAATGGAACTCAGGGCCTTGTGCTGATAAGGCCTCTGTAAACTGAGCCACTGCACTTTCTGAGACAAGAATTAGTGCGCATTTGGGCTCTGGAGAGTATTTCTCCAGGGAGAGTGGGACAGTTATTTGAGTCTTAGATGGCCCCATTAAAACAGAATTTCTTCCATCCAAATACTAACTGGGTTTAACGCTGCTTAGTGTCTGAGATCCAGTGGGGTTGGGGTGATGCTGCCACAGATAAAGCAGATGGTTGTTAACCACCAGAATTGAGACCTCCGAATACCGATGAATGACTCGATATTGATGTGGTCAGCGAAGGTTTTGTGGTGAGATGCGAACTGAGCTTGGTCTGAAAAGGCTCTGTAGTGGGGAAGCCATGGTGATGATGGCTCATGCCTGCAGTCTTAGCACTTGGGAATCTGAGGCAGGAATTCTAGGTCAGACTGCACTTTACAGCTGAACCCTACCACCAACAAATACCAATCAAGGTGGCAGGAAGGAGCAGAATGGGGTCCCTAGGTCACAAAGGATACCAGAGTATATATGGGAGAGATGCTTTCAGATAAAATAGAATCTTGCCAGGCCTGTGACTCTTCCTGTCTATCACACACACACACACACACACACACACACACACACACACACACACACACACACACACTGGTTTGAAGCTAGAGCTTTGCTTAAGTTAGGCAGGTGCTCTACCACTGAGTCACACCCTCAGCCCCTCACTGGGGGATTCTAGGCAGATGCTCTACCACTGAGCCACACCCTAGAACCTCACTGGGGCATGCTACTAATACTTTATTTCTAGTAATATTTTACAGCTAAGCTACATCACAGACTTTTTTTTTTCTTTTTTCCCCGTTTTTTGAGATAGAGTCTCACTAAGTTGCCCAGGAGGACCTTGAATTTGAGATCCTGTTGTCTCAACCTCCTGTGCACCTAGGATTACAGGCCTGTGCCACCAGGCAGCTTCAGCTCTGTGACTCACACTGCAAGCCTTGTACTGTGGGCACTCCTGGGCTCATCCACCTCCTCATTCCCAAGACTAGTGTTTGTCATCTGAGCTAACACTTCCTTCTCCACCTGCAGTCAGTCAGGCTAAAGGTCAATCCCATTGAACTTCGCACTCACTGCTTGGTGCAAAGCAGGGTTCTGGTAAAAGCACAGGGTGGTGGGTGATCACTTTCCCTTGCTGGATCAGCGGCTGTTCCCTCCTGCTAATGGGCTTGGGTATCATTGAATAGCATTTACCCCTGGAGACCTTGAGGACACTTGCTCTCCTTTCCTGGAAGGGGTCACTGTACTAGTGACACTTACCTTGAGGAAGATGACTCTAGCAGAAAGGGACTTGGGGAGGAGGCGCAACTGGTATAGCTATTGCTGTGCAAACAAAAAGGACCTGAGTTTGGATCCCCAGCATCACGTAAAGGCCAGGCACCTCTGTGCACATCTAATTCCAACATCGGGAGGGTGGAGACAGGACAGCCAGTGTGGCCAGCTGGTGTAGCCCAGGCAGTGAGCTCCACGTTTTGTAAGACCCTGTGTGAAAAAAATAGAGTGGCAGGCTGGGCGGCATAGGTGGTGGTGGTGGCGGCGGCGGTGGTGGCGCATGACTTTAATCCCAGCACTTGGGAGGCAGAGTCAGGTGGAGCTCTGTGAGTTCCAGGCCAGCCTGATCTACAAAGCCAGGACAGCCAAGGCTATTACATAGAGAAACCCTTTCTTGAAAAGCCAAAAACAAACAAACAAAAGACGACAACAACAACAAAAAATCCAAAAAACTAAAAACCAAAAACAAAGTCCATCAACTGGTTGGGAATTTGAGAGGCCCATGCTTTTTTTTTTTTTTTTTTTTTTTTTAACTGCACCATGGAGACTTCTGGGACAAGAGATTTGGGTCATTGAGGTTGGCCCAAGCTCAGCCAGGTCAGAGAACAGCCTATTGTGTGAAGAGTCATAGTCACCTTCCTACCCAGGCCCTTTCAGGCCTGAGCCTTCAGGCCAGTGACTTCATTGCGTGGGGCCTGAGGTTGGTTCCTTATCTGTAAAAGGGGAGAATAAACAGTACTTATCTCACAGCTTGTTGCCACAAGGTTCAAATGAGTTGAGTGTTCTCTCTAGGATGTGGCCTCTGGTAAACAGCAGATGCTCTCTGTTTCCTCTTGGGTACCAGACTGCAGACCACTGGCCTTAGAACTTTGAAGCTGTGGTCCCATCCTCCCCTGGAGGGATCCAGGAGGTAGCTTTTCTGGTGATTGAGGTCAGGAACTTGAACCATCAGGCTATCTGATTTTATTTTCCTCATGCCTGGTGATGCAGGCTATAACCTCAACTACTGTGGAAGCGGAAGCAAGGAGGGTTTTAAGTTCAAAGCTAGCCTGAGCTACAGAAGTCTCATTTCCTCAGTAGAGTTCAATTTCAGTCTCTAGGTTTTTGTCTGTTTGTTTTCTGGTTGAGGCAGGTTCTCCCTCTGTAGCTCTGTAGCCTATGCTGCACGAAACTGTGTAGCCCAGGCTGCCATCAAACTTGTAGCAATCCCCCTGCCTCAGCTTCCCAGTTGCTGGGATTACAGTTGCTGGGGCCATCATGCCTGGATGAAATGACCTCTCCTAATGTGAAAGAGATGAGCTGTTTAAAGCCTGTCGTGATAACAACCGATCCTACCCCTAAAAGAACCCAGAGCCAGGGCTGTAGTTCAGTGGCAGAGCTTTTACCTAGCATGCATATCGCCCTGAGGTCCATCCCTGCACTCCATGAACTTCATGGGCCAGTTGGGCTGAACGCACATAATCCCAGCACTTGGAAGGAGGGTACAGGAAGATCAGGAGTTCAAGGTCATCTTCTGCCACATAGAGTTCCAAGCAAACCCAGGTTGTCCAAGACCTTGTCCCAAAAAACAAACAAAAAAACCCCGCTTAAGTGCATGCCTTTAATTCCACTACTCAGGAGACAGAGGCAAGTGGATTTCTATGAGTCAGTGCCTGGCCTGGTCTACATACTGAGTTGCAGCCCAGTCAGGGCTCCATAGTGAAACCCTTTCTCAGAAGGATAAAAGCAAGAGAGCAAGCAAGCAAACAAACAAAACAAAACAAAACAAAAAACTCCAAAGCAAAACCTGACACAAAATCTAAAATGAGGCTGGGAATATAGCTCAGTTGTTGATTGCCTAGCATGGGTAAGGCACTAAATTTAATCTCCAGTACCTCTCTAGGCAAAAGAAAAACAAATTCCTATTGTGAAATTTACATATTTAAAGTGGAGGAGATTATTCCTAGAGATAGGCAAATAAATGCATGTGAAAGTGTTTAAGAAAGCCAGATCATTTCGCAAACGTGTGTATAAAGTAACTGTTGTAAGGCCCCAGCCATACCTCATGGCTGACCTAAGTGCGAGTGGGCGCGTTTTATGTGGTGTAAACTCAACCCCCGGCCTGATTTCTGTTCCTTCTTTGCCCCTAGGCGGCATGAAGCCCAACACTTTGGTGCTCGGTTTCTATGATGACGCCCCACCCCAGGACCATTTTCTAACAGACCCAGCCTTCTCCGAGCCTGCAGAGGGCACCAGAGAGGGCGGGTCGCCTTCCCTGAGCACGCTGTTCCCTCCACCTCGGGCTCCTGGGAGCCCTAGGGCTCTCAGTCCCCAGGACTACGTGGCCACGGTGGCAGATGCTCTCAAGATGAACAAGAATGTGGTTCTTGCCCGGGCTTGTGGGGCTTTGCCCCCGGAGCGCCTAAGCCGGGGGTCCGGTAGCAGCTCTCAGCTACATCATGTAGACGTGTGGCCCTTGAACCTGCTGCGGCCCCGGGGTGGGCCTGGCTACGTGGACGTCTGTGGCCTTTTCCTGTTGCAGATGGCTACCATCTTAAGCATGGTGCCTGCATGGCACAGTGCCCGGCTCCGGATCTTCCTGTGCTTGGGGCCTAGGGAGGCTCCTGGGGCAGCCGAGGGAAGGCTCCGGGCTCTGTTGAGTCAACTCAGGATCCGGGCAGAAGTACAAGAGGTGGTGTGGGGTGAAGGGGCCGAGACTGGGGATCATGAAGAAGAGGAAGGGGACTTTGTGAATGGTGGTCGAGGAGATGAAGAGGCTGAGGCTCTGGCTTGCAGTGCCAACGCCCTGGTGCGTGCCCAGCAGGGGCGAGGCACAGGAGGCGGCCCTGGGGGGCCTGAAGGAAGGGACGGGGAGGAGGGACCCATTACTGCCCTTACCTTTCTGTACCTGCCTCGACCGCCGGCCGATCCTGCCCGCTACCCCAGATACCTGGCGCTGCTGGAAACCCTGAGCCGCGACCTGGGTCCCACCCTTCTTGTTCATGGTGTCACTCCGGTCACCTGTACTGATCTCTGATGACTGTTCAGACAGGGTTGCATAGAGAGGGTCCAGGCCCATTCTGAACAATGGATCCCCCAATGGACCCTGCCCTTCGGATGATGTTTTAAGGGGACCACGGTCTCCTTTGGATGGGGGGCACATAGTACACTAATTTTGGGTGGCTGTCCCCATCGTACTGGGGAGGACATTGCGGCCCTGCCCCCGGCCTGCCTTCCCCTCCTTCACTGGTGCCTTGACCAGAGGGGCTGGTCTCTTCTGTGACTCTAGGCTACCTCAGTGTCCCCATCCTGGCCACAAACACACCGCCTCCCTCTCCCCGACTTCCTAGGGTGGTGATGTTCGTGTTTTGTTTTATTTTTCTAACTACTGGCCATTAATAAAAGACCAAAACACTATGGGCTGCTGGAACACTGCTGGAGGGTGGGTGAGAGGGAGGCGGGTGGGAAGGGAGAGATCTGTAAGGGGGTGGAGACCAGAAGCCTTTTAGAGCCCCAGGCAAGAGGCTGCCACGTGCAGTCCTGGGGCCGGGATCATAGAGACTTCTGGGCCGCAGCGCCTGAGCCGCTAGCAGCCCACCCCGTGGCTTGGCTCCGGAGGCGGGCGGTCCTTTCTTAACAGGAGGGGGCCACAGAGAGAGGAGGGTTTGCAGATTAGGGTTTAGGGGACCACGTGACCCTCCCCCAGGAATGCGGTGACGTCAGGGGGCGGGGCCGTCCCCAAAATTGGGGAAGAAGGGGGAAAAAAGCCAGAAAAAGTTTCTTTGCGGGAGTCCCAAACCGGGCGTGGGACGGAACAGGAGGGAAGGGGCTCAAAGCTCCGGGCTCCGGGCTTGTGGGACCCTGACCTCTGTCTGGAGTGGAGTAGTCATCCCAGACCATGTCGGGGCCCACTTGGCTTCCCCCGAAGCAGCCAGAGCCCTCCAGAGTCCCTCAGGGAAGAGCGCTTCCCCGAGGCGCCCTGGGGCCGCCACCGGCCCACGGAGCAAGTAAGTTTTCCCCTCTCAAACACCCGGGAGTGGCGGGAGAGCTACTGGCTACTCTCCTTTTCTTTTCTCCCCTGCCTGTCTGCTTCCTGATGTCTCTTCCCCAAGCCAGAGGCTTGCCCTTGTGCAACCTCCCCTGATTCCTAGCCCTTCCCAGACGCCCTAGGTACAGAAGGAGAGGCGCCCCGAGGAAGGGCAGCCCTCAGGAGGTACCGTTTTCCATTCCCACCTCTGTTCTCTCCCGTATAGCACTCCAGCCCCACCCCAGGGTCAATTTTTGCCCCCTCCCACCTGAACAATGTTATCAGCCTCCGGGGGTACCTGACGATCGGGGGCCTACCTGGGTGGGACCCCATGGAGCGCCCCAGCGTCTGCAGGTGAGAACTGGGGGTGGGGTGAGGGTAGGATGTGTGGGTCTCTTTCTCAGGGTGAAGGCGAGAGAAGCCCAGGGGTTGTGATCTATATTTGTTCTCCGGACCTTGGCTCTGTCTCCAGGGGCTCCCGCCAGACAGGGGTGTCATCCGTCCTGGAAGCCTGGATGCTGAGATAGATTCGCTCACTAGCATGTTGGCTGATCTGGACGGGGGTCGCAGTCATGCTCCTCGGCGGCCAGACCGACAGGTCTGTGTCCTGTGCTCCCTTCTGTGGCCGAAGCCACGCTTTCCACGCTCCCCATCTACCCTCTTTGCAACTAATGAACACCTGGCTCACGGAAGCACCAGCTTCCTCCTTGTCAGGCCTTGCCCATGGGAACTTGTCAAAAGTCATTGCTCCTCTGAGGTTCCTACCTGGCACGCATGGATGTTGGATATGGCCTTACTCACTGTTTCTGCGTTGCTTGTCTCCCCAGGCTTTTGAGGCCCCTCCACCCCATGCTTACCGCGCAGGCTCCCTGAAGCCCAGTGGAGGTGCCGTTCCAACCCCTATGCTCCCAGCATCCCCCTATGGCGGACCTACCCCAGCCTCCTATGCTACAGCCAGCACTCCGGCTGGTCCTGCTTTCCCTGTACAAGTGAAGGTGGCTCAACCTGTGAGAGGCTGTGGACTGCCAAGGCGGGGAGCCTCTCAGGCCTCTGGGCCTCTTCCAGGCCCCCACTTTCCTTTACCAGGCCGTGGTGAAGTCTGGGGGTCTGGCTATAGGAGCCACCGCGAGCCAGGAACAGGGGTAAAGGAGGATGCCGCTGGGATACTCGGCCCTGCAGGAGGAAGAGGAGGCGGGCATGGGCCCCAGGTAAGCTGGGTGGGGGGTGGGGACACTGGGTTTGTGGCCATTGCAGGTAAGTGGGCATTGATTGGGTGGCATGGAGGCTGGTTTTAGGGCTGGGGAGGCAGTTCAGGTGCAGCAGTTCCAAGGGTCTATCCACAGCACCATACAATTCAAGCATGGTGGAGGTAGAAGCAGGAGGGTCAGTATAGATTAAGGTCATCTTTGGCTGCATAACAAGTTCCAGGCCAGCCTAGGCTGTATGAGACACTGTCTCAACAATAAATAAATGAATAATTCAATCCTGGTTTTAGGGTACCCAGAGGTCATGGGTCAAAATGGCCAAAGGGAAGGGGCTAGGCATCCCCCCCATCATCTTCTGAGAGATGTTCTCAGATGAGTTTCAGGGTTCCTGACCTTACGGGTTATTTGTGGTATCAGAGACTGTAGGCCATAACACAAAGCCCCGATTCTCACTGTAGGTCCCTTTAAGCCAACCTCCGGAAGAGGAGCTAGAGAGACTGACCAAGAAATTGGTGCATGACATGAGCCACCCGCCCAGTGGAGAGTACTTTGGTGAGCTGGCCTGGTGGGTAGGGTGGGAAGAGGGAGGAGATGGCTCTGGTGGCGTGGATCTTACAGACTGATGCTCATTGCTCTCTATCCTCAGGTCGGTGTGGTGGTTGTGGCGAAGATGTGGTTGGCGATGGAGCTGGGGTTGTGGCCCTGGACCGCGTCTTCCATATTGGTTGTTTTGTGTGTTCAACCTGTCGGGCCCAGCTCAGGGGCCAGCATTTCTATGCTGTGGAGAGGAGGGCATATTGTGAGAGCTGCTATGTGGTGAGTGGTTAGGCTGGGGGGGGGGAAGGGGCTAAATTAAGTATCAAGATGGGCAGGCAGGTCCCTGCCTATCTAAGAGAGGGCCAGATACTCAGTCAGATGGGGCAGAAGACAGAGGGGACTTGAAGCTAGGGACTCAAGCAGAAATACAAGAAGGGAAGAACTCGACGTGGTGGCTATCCGCAGGAGAGACGATCAGGAGTTCGAGGCCAGCCTTAGCTAAAAGCAGGTTTGAGGCCTGCCCAGGGCACATATTCCAAAGATCATTTGGTCCATCAACCAAAGAACATTTTGGGTTTTGTTTCTGTGCTTGCTTGTTTGTTGTTTTGGGATAATATGTCGTGTATCCCAGACTGGCCTGAAACTCATATATAGCTGAGGAAGGCCTTGAACTTCCTCCCCCTATCCATGAGGTTTGGGAATTCCAGATGTGTGCCACCAGATCTGTTTTATATGGTGCTAGGAATGGAGCTTCTTGCATGCTGAGCAAACATTTTACCAATTGAGCTACAGCCCCCAGACCAAGGAAGGAGTTCAATGTGGATACTAGCGGGGGAGGGGGGAGGACAGCTGCTTTTTTCAATGGGGAGGCCTGGCTTTCTTCCTTCCAGACTGAATCTCACTGTGTAGCCCAGGCTGGCCCTGAAATTGTGATCCTCCTGCCTCAGCCTCCCGAGAAGTAGGAAAACAGATGTGTGCCGGTCGCCATGCCCAGCTAGAAGGCATTTTAGAGTTGAAGTGATTTGCGAAAGTCTGATAACATTCCTCAGAGGCAGGGATTATTGTTGACTCATCTTACTGGAAAAGAGAGTGTGTGGAGGCTGAACTCCCTGTCTAGAAGTTACAATGCTGGGATAAGAACTCAGAGATGCGGAGACCACCTCCCACTGAATCCTATGCAGGGGACTCCCCCCAGATGGGTGGGAGGCCAGTGCGCCTCCCTGGCTGCTGTGGCTTCCCTTTCTGACCTTCCTGATGCTTCCCCACTAGGCTACCCTGGAGAAGTGTTCCACGTGCTCTGAACCCATCCTGGACCGAATCCTGAGGGCTATGGGGAAGGCTTACCACCCTGGTTGCTTCACCTGTGTGGTGTGTCACCGTGGCCTTGATGGCATCCCTTTCACGGTGGATGCCACCAGCCAGATCCACTGCATTGAGGATTTCCACAGGTTTTGTCTTGGCACAGAATCTCTGATCTGTCCCCTCCATGTCCGTTTCTGACTTCTGGTCCTCTCTGTGACATCAGGGTCTTCCCCAAGACCTAAACCCATCTTTCCAATCCTTCTCATTCCCTTCCCTTCCCCTTTGCTGGGCTCCATTGTGAGCCTCCTGTCGGGAGGGAGGGACCTGAAACCCCTTTTGAATTCCTTCCACCTCAGGAAATTTGCACCTCGCTGCTCAGTGTGTGGTGGGGCCATCATGCCAGAACCAGGTCAGGAGGAGACGGTGAGAATTGTCGCTCTGGATCGAAGTTTCCACATTGGCTGTTACAAGTGTGAGGTGAGGGGTCCCTGGACAAGGCTTTGCAGAGCCTAGGACCCTGGGGGGAGAACCCTAAGGGAAGACACACAGAGCTCTCAGGCTAATAGGCAGATATTGTTTCTTCCCACAGGAGTGTGGGCTGCTGCTGTCCTCTGAGGGTGAGTGTCAAGGCTGCTACCCGCTGGATGGGCACATCTTGTGCAAGGCTTGCAGTGCCTGGCGCATCCAAGAGCTCTCAGCCACCATCACCACTGACTGTTGACTCTTCCTAGAAGAACCTGCTGGAAATCTCAGCCCCCATTCATCACCTCCCCTGACATCCACCTTTACTGTTTGTCACCAAATGCTGTCGCTTCTTCCTCTCTTCATGAAATAATAATCCGTGAAGAGTTTAAAAGCAACTTGCAAGTCTGCTGTTTCATTGGAGTCTTATAAGATGAGGCTGTGTAAACCTCAAGTTCCAGCACTTCGGAGGCAGAGGCAGGCGGATCTCTGTGAGTTCAAGGGCAGCCTGGTCTATGTAGTAAACGCCAGGCCAGTGAGGGCTCCATAGTGAGACCATGCCTAAAACAAAGGCTGTCTTATACTTTGTTTTTTTGTTTTCCAGGCAGGGTTTCTCTGTGTTGCCATAGCTGTCCTGGAACTCTCTTTGTAGACCTGGCTGGCCTCGAACTCACAGAGATCTGAATGCCTCTGCTTCTCGAGTGTTGGGATTAAAGGTGTGTGCCACCATGCCCGGCTGCTGTCCTATACTTATATTGTTACATTATAAATTAACTAATTTATTGTAGACTAGAGATTTCTCAAATGGTTCCGTTTCTATTGGTCTTTGAATTCCTCCAGTCTTCTGACTTGACAGAAGTGGTATTGCAGGTCCAGTCCCCACCAGCGGGAATCACAATGCTGGATGCTGATGGCCTATTTCCTCATCTTGGTCTTGCCCTAGAAGGAACTGATGCACTTGACATGCTAGCCATTATAAAGGACCAATTCTAATGTATCCTGGGCTTCCCTTGAATTTGATACATGGCTGAGAGAGCTGAGGCTGTTCTTGAACTCTGGATCCTGCTGCCTTCACTTCTCAAATGCTAAGATTACAGGAGTGTGCCATTGTGTCTGGTGACTTTTGTGGGTGGGTGGGAGGGTGCTGGGGGTGGACCAGGGACACATACATGCTAAGCAAATGCCCTACCTCTTAACTGTACCCCCAGTCTTCTCGCCTTGCCTGGCTTCTTACTTCCTAAACCCAATCCTTTCATACGGTAGGCAAGCACTCTGTCGTTGAACTATATATCACCATTCGTCCCTGTTAAATTATGTGTGCAGGAGCTGAAGGTGGAGGCGTGTGCCTTTAATCCCGGCACTTGGGAGGCAGAAGTAGGTGGATCTCTTGAGTTCTAGGGCAGCCTGGTCTCTACAGGGTTACACAGAGGGGGGAAAAATGTTTGATATGTACATCTAAGTGTGGGTATATGTACATTTGAGCATCGTAGTCCAGAAGAGGTCATCAGGTCCCCAGGAACTAGAGTTAACACCTGAGAGGGTGCCGGGAGTCAAACTCTGCCCCCCTGCAAGACCAGGAGTGCTCTTAACCACTGAACCATCGTTTCAGACCCTTCTGAGAGGCAGGGTTTCACCAAATTGTCCAGGCTTGCTTTGAACTCATTCTGTGGCCCTTAAGTTTGTGATCCTCCTGCTTCAACTTGCTGAGTAGCTGGGATTACAGGCCTGTGCCAACATGACTACTAAATTTTTAAATGCCCATTATTGTAAAGACACCTTTCTTACGTGCTGGGATTTTCTTGCTGGGAGCAAGGCTGTGGCATGCTCCATTCTTCAGGTTGGCATTCTATTCATTGAGAAGGGCTTAGTGTTATCTTGGGGAATTATGCGTTTAAACTGGAAGCTACTGGATCCTAGTGGTTATTTCCAGACTGCTATGTACAACTTCCCATTAAAGAATTGGGGATTAAAACTGAGATTGGCATGGTTTGCAAAAGGATTAGGCGCCTCTGTCTAAGAAAAGCAGGAAAAACGCGTTTTGAAAAGTAACACATACTGTGGATTTCTGAGGAAGAAGAAAATGGTGGGACGAGATGCCTTTAAAATGGTTGCTTCTATGCATTATTCCCTAGACATCCCTCAAACAAACCCATCCATAGCGCGAGGAGAGGGCAAATCCACCCTTGAAGAGGTCAAGTAATGACCCAACCCAGGGCTCTCGCAAAGCAACCTCTAGATGCAAACTAGCTCCAACCCAGGAGACGTTACGGGAGAGAAAATCTCCATCTCAATTCTCCTCGTGTTAAAAAGGACTCCCCCGCCCCCCAACCATGTTCAGCAAGCCTGGCTTGGCCCAACTCAGCTTCCGTAGCTTCAGCGCTTGAGCGAATTTGTCGTAAAGCCACGCGAGATTTCCGCGTCTCCACCCTTTTCCCATCATTCCTTTGGTCTCTGTCTTTCTCTTAGTTTTAGTTGGGTCGGGGGTCTTGTTTGTAGTTAGAAGCCCAGCTCTCGGGTGGTGCAGACTGCGCGCGCGACCTCCTCTAACCCTCAGCAATCTCACTCTCATCTTTCATCGGCCTCCGGCCTGAGAATTCCCGCGTCCTCCTTCAAACCCTCCTTGCGGTTCATCGTCGCGCGTTCCGGTCCGCCCGGAAAACAAGCCCGTCAGCGCGCGCTTCCAACGGCCCCGACCTCCGCCAGGTGGGGGAGGGGAAGGAAAGGCCCGAGTGGCGGGATCGGAAGGAGAGAACTGTGCCCGGGGGCTTCGGGGGTGGACAAGGGGGGAACCCCTGGGGACAGTGAAACTGTCGGAGCGATCGCCCTGCCCGGGATGGCAGGCCGGCCTCGGCGGGAGGGAGGCGGGCGTGCTGCCCCCGGGGGACTGTCCCTCCTCTGGTCCTTGTTCATCATCGCCGTGTCCACCCGCCACCGGGCCCCAGGCCTCCTCTGACAGCACCATGGGTGACAGCGATGACGAATACGATCGAAGACGCAGGGACAAATTTCGAAGGGAGCGCAGCGACTATGACCGTTCCCGGGAAAGAGATGAAAGACGGCGAGGGGACGATTGGAATGACCGGTGAGACGATATTAACGTACTTTTCTTTTTTCCCTTCACAACCTATCCACCTTCTCTGCATCGCTTTTTTTCCGTTACAAAATTTTGTTAAGATGTGATCCACCATTGGACCGTATTCTGTAATTCAATATGTTCACTGTTGGCTTAGATTTTGAAAGGCCGTAGTGATAAAAGCCACAGCCAGAAGTAGTGGTGGACAGGAACCCTACCCAAGTAGTTGGACCAGGGCCACACAGGGAGACTACCCACCTCAAACCCAAATAAGAACGAACAGACAGATCAAAGTGTTTGAACCAAGAGTTTGAGTGGGAAAATCAGTCTTTATTTGAAATGCATCAGGAGTTTGCATTATTTTCTTCCCCTCCCTTCCTTCTATTGGAAAGATGGGGTTTCTTATTGGGTTAGCCTGTGATTTGCTGGGTAGCTGGCAATGTCATTCATCTTCTGTCTGCCTCCCCCAGGGCTGGGATTACAGGCATGCACCACCAGATCCCTGTTTAAGCTGTGCTAAGGATGGGACCTGGGGCTTTGTACTTGCTGGGCAAGCACTCAGCTGAGTTATGTCCGAGGTTCAGGGAGTACTTCTGCATTGTGTTGTTTTAAATTACATCTCTTATTTATTTTTGCCTTTTTTTTTTTTTTTTGTGGTTGGCAGGGTCTCTGTAGTCCTGGCTGTCTTGGAACTCAATACCATGTAGATCAGTCAGATTCTTAAATACACAGAGATTTGTATGCCTCTGCTTTCCTAGTACTGGGATTAAAGGTATATGCTCCCACCAACACTGGTAAGAACTGTTAGTTAGTTAGCTAGTTAATTTTATTTTATTTTTTATTTTATTTTATTTTTTTTTTTTTTGAGGCAGGGTTTCTCTGTAGCTTTGGAGCCTATCATGGAACTAGTTCTGTAGACCAGGCTGGCCTTGAACTCACAGAGATCACCAGATTAAAGGTGTGAACCGCCACTGCCCAGCTAAGATTTTTTTTTTTTTTTAAATTTGAGTGTTTTGTCTACATGTATTTATGCTGTGTCTGATGTCTGTAAGAAGCCAGAACAAGCTGAGTGTTGGTGGCTCACGCCTTTAACCCCAGCACTCTGGAGTCGGATCTCTGTGAGTTCGAGGCCAGCGTGTTCTACAGAGCTAGTTCCAGGACAGGCTCCAAAGCAATACAGAGAAACCCTGTCTGGGTTGGGGGGGTGGGGAGGGGAGAAAGCCAGAACAGTCAGTGTTAGTATTCCTGGAGCTGAAATTGACAGATGGTTGTGGGCTGCCATGTGGTTCTTAGGAGCAGAGCGAGCCTCGGTCCTCTGAATTGCTGAGAGCCACCTCTTCACCCCACCCCTGTACTTTGGTTTCTTAGACAGGGTCTTATGTACTATAGACTGGCCTGGAACGTGATCCTCCTGCCTCAGCTCTTCAGGGCTTGAGTTAGAAGTGAGTCAGCATACCCAACTCTGGTGTTTCTTAAAGGGAAGAAATTCAGTGGCTTTCAGAGTCTGAAACTAGATGAATGAAGTCCTTCAGAGTTTAGCAGTGTCAGGTCAAAGTGGCTTTGAGTACCTGCCACAGACATGAGTGGGAGATCACTGCAAAGAAACTTAAGTTCAAGGCACAGGTGTTGGGGAGAGCCACAGGAAAGGGATAGCTGGGTTTCTGGGTAATTCCCTAGACACAGGTGATGGAACAGCTTGAGGTCAACAGGCATGACAGTTGAGACAAGGTGTAGTAGTTCTCAAACTGTCTAGAGACATTGCTGCCTTTGTTAGTGGCACTGCAGGGATACTGGTTAACACTGCTGGAGCCTCCTCACAAAGGTAATGAAAAGGATGCCCGCTTGAAGAAAGAACATCAGTTAGTGTCCCTACTAGAGCGTGGGTCTTTGTTTCTGGTTTGGTTTTCAGGTTGAAGTGCTGGATGAGAAGTATGCATAATAGAGCACTGTATTACTGTGGGGTAGTCACTGCCTCTGGCAAGAGCAGTTGTGTGATTGGTTAGGGAGCCTGAAGTGTTTCCCACAGGTGCCATTTTTTTATTTGAGCAGTATCAACACTGGGCCTTCACCCTTAGTAGTGTTAAGCAGACTTGTGCAGGAGACTAAGCCAAGAGAAATTGTTACTTAGAAGAAATCTGTCAGTATTTGTTGCTAATGAACTTGCTGATAGAAACAAATTTTGGAAAACTTATATCTACCAGTATGAGCTTGACAATGTCATATTGTGTAGACTTTTCTGAGATGAGCAGTCTTTATGAAGTATATCTTTTTTGTTTGGTTTTTTGAGACAGGGTTTCTCTGTGTAGCCCTAGCTGGGACTTACTT